CTTTTGCCGTTCTTGCAGCAGCACGACGAAGCTCCGCACAGCAAAAAAATAATTTTGATATCACGTCAAAGTGGATGCACTACAATCATGTCGAAAATATGGTGTAATATTACTTGCTAAAAAGGACAAAATTATCATTAATACAATGCATGAACTGACATTACGCTGCTTTTACTGCATTTGTTTATTTATGTGGTCATAAAAATAACATGAAATTTTCGACATGATTGTAGTGCATCCACTTTGATGTGATATCAAAATTATTTTTTTGCTGTGCGCTATTTTGGCCAGATTTGGCATCATGCCACTATTTTAAAAGTGTCCTGGAGTGATATGAGGCCAATTCTGTCCATTTTGTTCCAAAGGACATGAATCCGCCAAACTGTCCGGAGCTGCGCCCGGTGGAGCAGTACTGGGCAATAATGAAGCGGGAACTTCGGAAGAGCAAGAAGACAGTCAAAGACGAGAAGGACATGTTAAGAAAATGGAAAAAAAAAACTGAGAAACTGGTACCGGATGACACTGTAAAGACTTTGATGGAGGGCATCAAGCGAAAATGCGTTCAATTTTACCCATCGATTAACTTTTCTTTTGATTTTTGAAGTATATATATATATATAAAACTACCCTAAAATTTTGGTTTGATTCTAAACATTATGAGAAAATTGGCATGACATTTTCGGTGTCGCAATAATTTCGTGTTCGCCCTTTACACAGTGTTAATAGGTTTTTCTTTACCTAAGCTACAAAATAAATATAAAATATTTTAAAAATATATGCAATTTGAGTAATTTTAATATTTTTTGATAATTTTGATTTTTTTTTGTAAAAAAAATAACATATTTTTACAGTGTATATTTTGTCTTGAATGGCATAATACTTGTCCGCCACTTCTTCAAAGACATCATCTCAATCAAACAAATCGTTCGCAAGATATATGTTTTTCTATTGATGCGTATCATTTTTGCATAAGCCCTTTTCAAGTGTAAGTCGTGTACAAAACAAGGGAACCAAATATGTGAAATGGCATGTCGGACAATAACAAACAACTGTGCAAAGTTTCAACATAATCGTAGAAGGTCGATCAAAAAATTTTAAAATATTTCGTCATTTGAAATGGAACTGCTGAATTTCATCAACTAAATTGTCTGAGTTTCACGCATTTTGTTTATTATTCATCGACCATTATCAAAGTAGCCCCAAATCAAAATATTGATGTTCGGTCACAGCACTTAAAAATAGTGCAAATGCTTTAATTTCTATTAAACAACTTAAATTTACATTAACTAACTAAGTAACTCTAGAATCCTCAGCACTTGTTAAAAAAATTTAAAAAAAAACATTCATTGCTGTAAAAAGTATTTAGAATATCCTTTAAAAAGTGGTGCCGGTAGTGTAGTGATAAGCGTGATTACCTCTCACCCCAGCAGGCCTGGGTTCAATCCCAGTTGGCGCCACCGGGATGTTCTGAGGCATAACATCTCTGATCACTGAGTAAGAGGGAAGGGAAGTAAAGCCGTTGGTCCCCGGTTCAAAAGTTGATGGGTCGATAGGTAGGGTCCAGGTGTGAGAGCTGCCTTCCTGGCGTCGGTAGCATTGGTGCTCAGCACGGAAAACAAGATCGACGGAAAACAAATCAACGGAAAAACAATACTTTAAAAAACTAACAATGTTATCCTTTTTTACGGTATTACTATTAAATCAATATTCGAATAATCCTACGCAGGTGTTGAAGCTGCCTTCCTGCACATTCGATTGCCGTCAATAGATGGCAATCGATGTCCGTCAGTGATTGGCACTAGATTGCGGAACAGAGACTGACGTTAAATAAAGGAAACAAGATCGGGGCGAACAAAATAGTTTTTGCAGTGCTACAATAATTAGGGGAAAAGTTGGCTTCGGTACTACCTTAACCTATTATCGTCAGGGGGGTAAACAAAGTCCTTGAGAGCTCAATTTTGGCATGTGGATACATTGTGTTTCAGAGCAACTATTGGCCAAATTTGAGTGCTCTAGGACTTTGTTTACCCCCCTGACGATAATTGGTTAAGGTATTGCCGTTATGACAGCTATATACAAAATTATCTGTTACAAATTTCGTCAAGATGCATAATTTGTCAATTAATAATAAGAAATTCATTAGATAACTGTTCAATAGACAGCCTTAACGTGTGATATGCAATGTCTCTTAAATTCTGTAAGTGTTGTTGCTCGTTTAATGTGTCTGGCATCGAATTGAAAACATGTTTTCCTTTAAAATACAATTAATTTTTTGAAGCACAGGTCAAGAAAAGTGGTTCTCTTATTTCATCCGCGTTTTCAGTATTCTATCTATAAAAGTCACTTCGCCTTTCAATTTATCGACTATAAATAAATCAGATGTAGACCATTTTTCACAAGTTACAAGTCATGTGTTAAATTTGATCGCACTGGTCAACTTCTTAAAAAATGAACACCATAGTCAAATATACAATTTATTCCTTTACTGAAAACTATTTTAAAACGTCTAGCATTAAAGTTTAGGAAGTAAATCTATTACAGCTAAAAATCAAACGCATTATTTTATTCTGCAAGCGCTGTTTTCTCGATATTTGTATTTTATTGACCAGAAATAAAATGGAAGAACACAATTCTACATGACGAAAGACGATTGATTTGTATAGCTGTATTTTAATGGTAAGTTTTTAATCGTTTTTTAATCGACATAGAATTCCATACTCCTTGGAAATTTTCTGGATGAAATGGTCAATGTGCGAGTTGAACTTAAGTTTGTCATCAATACCCAAGTAACACATTTTCGTGCAATTATGTTGAGTCAACTTCTTTACAACCAAATTCAGTTATTTAAAGGTTATATAAACTGTTATATAATATGTGTGTTACTTGGGTGCTCACGCCAAGATATTTAATCTCCCGAATGCAATCATTAACCTCATCATCAATGATGAAGTTCTCATTCACTCGATTCTGCGAAATTGTACTGAATTTAGTTTTACTTATATTTAATCTCAATTGTTTGTACTTCAATCGTCTGATTAGAGAATGCAAATTTCATTCAAGTGTAAAAAGGCTGCATCTAAATCCTTAGCTGCAATGATGCTGTGTTATTCATCTGCAAAAAGATTAATGTCACAAAAACGTACAACACGTCGCAGGTCATTAATATAGATGACAAATAAAAGGAGCCATAATACACTTCACTGGGGCACTCCAAGGTTATTCTCCACAGAACAAAAAACATAATCATTAAAAACTGTCCGTTGATTTCTGTCACACAAATAGATTTTAAACCACAAACCACACTTCGTGAATACCAAATTCAACGCGATTTAACAAGAAACCGCTTCCTGATACCACGATTATTCTGGTGTTAACAAACTATTGCTATTTAAATACTCCAACAGCTGGCCTTTCAGCATAAGTTCTAAAATTTTCTCTTATTGAATAAGAACCACTAAGAATGCCTTCCAAATTTGTGGCACATGTCCATCTGCAATGATTTATTATTAAGGTCCAGCAAAAGGTGGCCAATGATATAAAAGCAATAATATTGAATAACTCTAGCATTAACATTAACACACTCCAGCCGATTTTCCTAATGAAATGCAAATGACTCTAAGTTCATCTAATGTAATTCTGTGAAAACCTTCAAATCTATAACTACTATTAACCGGTTGTTATATTTCGTAAGGTTCATCAACCAAATCAATTGAAAGATCAATCAATAAAACACTGTTGACAAAATAATCATTAAATTTAGATGCCATTACTTGTACTGACTGTTCGAATGCGCCATTAAAAGTTATGGACCGCGGTTTGCAATTACTAGGTTTAATAAAGATTAAAAAAAAAATCCATAACTCTTTGCTGTTGTTTTGATGCTGATCAATCATCCTTTGAATATATTCACAACGAGTTTTCTTTATCGATTGTGAATACTTATAACAATTGTGTACCTTTTTTCAATGATTGTCATTATTTGATCTGCAATTTTTTTTTTTACCATTTGTCCCTTTTCAGTTTAAGACGCAAAATATCCAAATTGTATCAGCTGTTTGAGTTTTTCAAAGAAACAAACTTTTGCTCAACTGATTGATTGGTACACGTTTTCAAAGCGTTTGTTAGAACAGCGGATTACCGGTAACGAATGGAAAATACAAGCATCTCTTCACAAGATTCGTAACAGTCTGTTTCAAATATTTCCTCCACCTAAATTTTATAAAATCCTCATTATGCTCGATCCATATAAATAAGGTTGGTAAGTTACACCTAGATAAAAGGCTGGAAGGTTACAACTAGTTGCACTTAGGTTAAAACATGAATATAAATCGATTTGAATTTGAAACATATAAAGAGTTAACACATATGTCCTGCTTTCTACATGCAACATATATCCCTTTAACTTTTATTTACTAGCACCATCTGATCTAGTATTCCATTGCACTTTGATTTATTATTAGTAGTAGTTTGTGTTCTGAAAAAGGAAAAATGGATTCAGGTTTTAAATAAAGGGCTCGATAAATTTTGCAGAATACGAAGAAGGGATTTTTTCCCGTTGTGCTGAAACAGAATTCCAATGTAATATGATTTAAAAGCAATGGAGCTGACCGTTTGTTGTACAAATATCTCGAGAAAAATGCTTTGAATTAAATCCAAAATTTGAGATGATAAAATTTGATCCATAATCATTGTTTTTTTATGTTATGTTAATCCATTTATCGATCCCTACTATCATATCATGCGTCGTTTTAAAACATGTTGGAATACGAATAGTTGCTCCCCATGCATACTACTGAAAACACTAGCAAAAATATACAAATCGACCAGTATCGATATAATGGCAGAAACTATCGTAAATATTCAAACTAAAGCACAACCACACACTTCCGACCACGCGACACATTTCGTCTATATGGAAACTGCCCACGATGCGTCGCGACGGGATGAAGCCGAGATGAAAAGAGATGAGAAAAAAATGAGAATTCAGTGCGTCTCAGTGTTTCAAAGCGTCAAGTCAGCCTAATTGATTCATGTTGCTCAGACAAAAGCCTGAACGAATTTAAAAGTTGTGAAATTCATTATTTAATAGCTCGTTAACGTTGGCAGTGGATGGTTTTTTTTTAAATAATTGTCTAGTGCATAAAGTAAGTGGCAATTACAAAACATAGTGCTTTTTCTACAGTATACATTTGTGAACTTAAAGTAGGATATATTAATAAATATATATGTATTAAGTATGACATTTGCAAAACATAAAAATCTGTTAAAAATCATAATCCATGGCGTTTCTTACAATATTTTCGTAATGTACATTCGCGCGCCTTCTTGTGAAGGGCTGCATGTCGGTGACTTTTTAAACAAGCAGTTTAGGTGGAAGTGACTTGGAAGAAACAAAACGAAGTGGTTTGTAGTTCGTGCATTATTGGCAACGGTGCTATTAAATCTATACCATTGTAGTTTTCGCCTGTCAACACCAGTCATTGTGTTATTAATCATCGCTTTTTATCAAACTGAAAATTTAACACGAAAATACCATCAGTACAGTGAGTATAACATAAAAAAAGTTTCAGATGTTCAACCGGTTACAGACGCGCCGAGCCCAAAGTGTTGGGGCATAAGGAGAACAAAATCAAAACCGTTTTCAACGTGATTCTTTAATACCCACATAAATAACTGAGCGCCCACGCGTTTCATACCTGTACGACTTCTTTCTTCAATATCGTGATACCGACATTGGTTTTTTTATTCGGTTTATATGTGAGAAAATATACAAAGATAAAAACTGGAGTTTCTTCTGGAGTTTTATGTACCTGCGGGCGCATAGTGCTTTAAAATATATCCTGGGTTATCCATTGTGATATACGGTGACGTCTGACAAAAATGTAAAATTATGCCACGCTCTTTTTAATTTGTCGATTGTCTGAAAAGCACAGATCCAGTTGGATTTTTTGGGAGAGGTCACCTGTTTTGGATATTTAAATTTGCGTATGAGGTGGTTTTTTTGCTTTAGTTTAACTTGTGTGCTACAGAAATAGTGCTTTCTATTACGAAAGATTTGCAAAAAACCTTTCATAGAATTGCAAAATTATTGTAGGAAAAAAAAAGTAACAGTATAATTTTCACGAAGGGGTTTACGTGCAAAGCTGCTATGTTGGTAGAAGTCCATTGCCCTATAATGTCGCTAAAATTTGAATCGCTCAAAAAGTTTCAAGAGCAGAATAATCTCATGTTGAGCAAATGTGATGCAATAATTGTTGTGTAAGTACTGTGTTCTTCGTTATCAAACTTACAAGTTAAGCATAGATAGGTTTTATGTGCCAAAAAATTGATAGGTTTTATGTATCAAACATATATGTCATACCCTTTTCTTGTCACTTACAAGTACAGAATAACATTATATTATCTAACGATTTAATAATTTCGAAAAACTATTTTAATAGCGAAGTGAGTGGAAGCAACTCTTGTTAGGTCTAAAATCACAATCCCCTTACAACTATTTTTAATATTCTTAAAATTAAAAAGGCTTTGAATTGAAATTCAATTTGCTATAATGATAGAATGACATTTCGAACATTTATGTTCCAAGAAGAGGTTGTGAAGAATGTATTTGACGCTTAAAATCAGTGTTGTTGTAATATTTCAGCTTAGAGTAGATTGTTTTATTTGACGCGGTTTATACAATATCAAAATGGCGCTTACGTGATCAGAATCTTGGAGTCAAGAAATATTCGATGTTTGCCATAGTTCATAATCGTCAACTAATACAAGGTGACAGTAGTCATGCAAAGAATATGTTCAGAAAAAGTTTAATACGCACCATAAATAGCGGTGACAATTGGTCAAAAAATCAAAATTTTTTGGTCTTTTCCCTTACAACATTCTCCTTTTAGAAAGGAAAACAATTTCAAACATGTTGATCAATGATATATTTACGACTGTCATGGAAATGGTTGATTAAAACTGATACCTCATGTTACTAAAATAAAATAAAATAGACAAATATAAAACCTTACGTGGGGTGACATTGCAACAAAATATAAATTTTGTTAAAATATCTTAAAATATATAAATGTAACGTAACTATTAGGAGTATACTTGGATATGATCACAATGTACTTTGTTTGTCTGGCTAAAGATCGCATGTAATCCTCGTCTATCTACATATATAAAAGTGCGTTCAAACTTTTGTTTGCCTGTGGACATTTTTAAAAACGTGTTTTTGGTACTTCATATAACTTTACAGCACTATTAAAAAAAAAACAACTGGTTAATGTTATCTATTCTTTACTCCAAGAGTTCAATAAACATATTCTAGTCATCATTTTCTGTATATTCAAGACATTTGCATCAATAAACATTTTTCAATTTTGGTCCAATGTCGCCCCCTAGACCCAACGTTACCTTGTCTTACGGTACATTAATTTTGTAGCAGTTCATCCGACGTTTTCCAGGATATAAATACAACGCATCAGTGCAATAGATAAGAATGAATTTTGAAAATTTATTTAGTTTTTTTTTCACTTCATAAAGCACAACCTTCAGCAATCAATTTATTTCAATACTCGTCGATCTTGATTACTACCAAAAGTTTTGAAAAATCGAATGGTAGATTAGGCATAATACTGAAAAATGCATGGTCGATGTTTATTCAAAAACTACACACTTAAAATTATCGCCGACTTCGGTAATTTTTACGAAATCTGAACAACTGAACTGTTCGGTAAAATTTATGCAACAATTGCTTTTCAGCTACTTTGAAACTAAATCTCCACTAAAATGACTAGATTTGATCATTTAAACAAGGTTGAATATGTTTTGAAATTATTTTAAAATTCAATAGCCTTTAAAATTAAGGTTAAAGTTTTACCGAACGTTCAGCTGTTCTGATTTCGGTAAAATTTACGAAAAAACGATCAAATTTTCTGAACTTGAATAAATTTGATCATGCAAAAATGCCAAAATTTGGATGAAAAACTGGAAAAAAAAACTTCTGTCTGATGAACATGTAGGGTTAACTAGCCCATTCCCGGCCTATTAAGCACAACCCGTTCTTAGTCTTTCTTATTCTAGCGCAGTTTAGCACCAAACGGAATGGTATTATCACAGACGGCTTCCAAATTTATTTACCTTTCCATATGTAGGTACCGTTAGTTTTGATAAGGGGTCGCGAAATATTCGTATAGTGTTGAAAATGCAAAACTGCTTCTGGCGGCTCAACTTGGCCTACGGGTTTTCTTGGGCCTATTAGCCATTGAAACGCCATTGGGCTTCTCTTTGGCCTATTAAACGGAAAGAAACGTGAATTTGCGTGCGCCTTTTGTTTTCTAGATCTCATTTTGCGTTCTTCAACACTTCGTCTTGCAGCTATTGAATAGAAGCATCGTACCAAACGTTTGTTTGACACGTTCATGCCGAAATCATAGATATATTAAATATATCTATGATTTTTCAAATTTTGATGTTTTGTGCTCGATACGCTGGAAATGGGCGATCAGGCCGAAGTAGATTTCCCCCTACCACTTTAAATGCGAACAAAATTTACCGTAAGCCCAAAAACGTTGCGAGTGAATGTGGTGCATGTTCATGATATTTCTAGAACGGGATATCTTGTAAACTTGACCATAAAGAATGCAAAGTTTTTCAGGTGACCAAGGTCTTCCGGATGATATACTCAAGGCCAGCGCACAATGCATACGGTTTTGGGTTTTTTGACAAATAATGCATGGGCTAGCTGTCAAAAAACCTGAAAACTTATCTATTGTGCGCCAGCCGTCACTCGTAGCGCTAGCGGCCATAGGATCTTCCTGCATATGCTACTATATCTTAATATCCTGACTGTGTAAGAAGATGCTATCTTCGAGTGTTTCAGGTGATCAGACTCTGAACTAGCTTAAAGCTTGTGCGCATGCTAATGTACCCAGACAACCAGAATGCACGTATATGCAAAGTTGTTTTTGTGTTAAACAAACAAATATAGAAACAAACAAATCGTAAATAATACTAAAATAAGGCTTATACGTACACAAGTGGAGGCCATATACGTGCAAATTTTAATTTCTCTTTAAACGAGTTAATTTGACATCATATACGATTTAATTTGTAATAAAAATTCAATCTGAAAATTCTTACCATGTAATCCGATTTAATTTGTTACACAGTACGATGGAAAAATGATTCATCGCATTTGAGTTGGAAATTTGCATTCTATACAATTTAACTTAAACATAATGCGATGTATGTCATTCTTATATGCGACGTTGCCTTAAACTGTAGCAATTTACGATACTGTCTGTATTATGCATTTTTATACGACTTCTGGTTGTCTGGAGTACAGCTATTTCTACATATATGCGCATAATACGGACTACATATAAGGAAACCTAGATTTGGCTTAATTGGTTCGAACATGGAATATCTAGAGACCCTAGACTATCTGTTTTGGGCAAAGTTGTTCAGTGAATTAAGACCTTATGATTGGAAGACAGTACTCAAGTAACCAACAAGCCCGCTAATTCGCCTTTTTGCAATATCCAGAACAACATGTGAAAAGGGCTAACAAGCTTTTTGTAAACAAACCTTCTTATGTCCTTTTCTCGCCACCCATATGACACCAACGCAAACCTTTAACTTCACCGGGTATGGGACACTTTCCCCTTCCCGATGATATTGCTGGTTTGCGTGGGCGAACCTCGGTTGGCGAGAAAAGGGCCTACAAATGTTTGTTTACAAAAAGCTTGTGCCCTTTTCACATGTGGCTCTTGATATATGGTTGAAACACGACTAACAAAGGGCATGCTAAGCTTTACATTAGCCGCATATCAGCCTTATGTTGCAAAAGGGTGAATTAGCGGACTTGTTGGTTACTTGGGAAGATCAGAATTTGTGTGCACTTGAACTTCCTGTACAAGATGTATCTTGAGATCCTTGCCATATAGAAGGTTACTGCCTTCAGCAAAGTTGTTCAAGTCACCAAGCTCCTGCGGATGGTGGTCAAATTAGTTCAGAACTTTCTCACTACGTGCTGCTAGTGTGCACATTTACTTCCTCCTGTATAAGCTATAACTCGGGATCCTTGCCATATATAAGGTTACTTTCTTCAGAAAAGTTATTCTGATGACCATGTCCTTTTGGATGGTGGCCATAT